ACTGCTCGTCGACGACCTCTCCCGCTACATGTGGGTGATGGTTCTCGACAGCGAGGGGGAGGCTGCGGACGCCATCAGCGCGCTGCGGCTGCGCCGCGGGCGGCGGAGTGCGGCCGCAGCTGCGCAGCGTCTTTTGCGCCCGACAACGGCGGGCGAATTCACGACGGCCGAATTCGCGTCGCGTCGTCTTCGCGCTTGAGAGGGCATTTAGCGCCACTACTCGCGTCGTCTGTTTCGCCAGCGAACGGCGTCGTCGAGCGGCGCAAACCGCACGGTTGTGGGGATGGCTCGGGCCTCCTCGGCGAGGGGGATGCTCGGCCGCATCTTCGGGAGAAGGCGGTGGTGACGGCCGCTCTACATCCTCAACCGCTTCGCTTACCAAAAGCGCTTCGACGGCGGGACGCCGTCTGAGGCTTGGCATGGGCGCAAGCCGGCGGTCTCCCACTTGCGGGTCTTGGTTGCCTCGCGTTCGCCAAGGAGCTTGGCCACATCGGCAATCTCGGCGGCAGAGCACTCGGGAGTGTTCATCGGCTACGCGGAGAGCTCGAAGGCCTACCGCATCCTCGACCAAGACACGGCGTGTGCGCGCAGCGCCGCGCGGCGTTGTGTTCGACGAAAAAGCGAGGATGGGCGTGGATAAAGCGGTGGACGACGGCTCGGCTCCGACGTCACGGCGACTTCACTGCCGAGTCGTCCACTTCGAGGGAGCTAGGGGAGTAGGCAGCTCTTCTTCGCGGCGCGCGTCTACCCGATCCCCGAGCCTCCACCGACCTCGGCGCTGCTACTCTCGGCAAAGACCACGCTTTCCTAGCCGGACCTTGGTGCGATATAGTTCTTCGCGCCCCACCACGGTAAACAACGCCACGCACTCCAGCACCGACAGGCACCACTCCGGGCAAGTCCACTCCACCACCAACTCGTGTCGAGCACAGCCCGGTTGAGCTCGCTACTCGCTCTCTCACGACGAGGAGCGATCGACGCGCATACCACGACGGCGAGCCGTTGCGGTACCGTACGATGGAGAACCTTCTCGGCGACCACCGGTCTGGGGACCGGTGCCTCACGACTTGGAGGCGCAGTTGCACCTTGCGTGTGACAACGGCGAGCCTCGGTCGTTTGCAGAGGCCGAGAAACACGCGGCATGGCGCGCCGCGATGCAGTTGGAGATGGATGCGGTTGAGAAGAACCGCACCTGGGGGCTTGCTGACCTTCCTCGTGGTCACTGCGCGATCACCCTTAAGTGGGTGTACAAGCTGAAGAGGGATGAAGCCGGTGCCATCGTCAAGCACAAGGCTCGCTTGGTGGCACAAGGCTTCGTGCAGCACGAGGGGGTCGACTTCGACGACGCCTTTGCTCCCGTGGCACGGATGGAGTCCGTGCGACTCCTCCTTGCACTAGCTGTCTAGGAGGGCTGGCGTGTTCATCACATGGACGTCAAGTCGGTGTTCCTTAATGACGACTTGAAGGAGGAGGTCTCACGCGCACCAAATACCACCGGATTTGTGATCCCGGCAAGGAGGGCAGCAGGTGCTCCGCTGCGTAAGGCCCTCTATGGCTTGCGGCGAGCACGCAAAGGGCGTGGAATGCCAAGTCGATTCCACGCTAAAGGGATGGGCTTCGAGCAAAGCCCGCGACGAGGCGGACCATCTACCGATGGGGGCGATGGAGGAAATGCTCTTCTGGGTGGGTGTCTCACGTCGATGACTTGGTGATCACCGGCACCAAGGATGCGGAGGTGGCGGCATTCAAGGAAGAAATGAAGGCCACCTTCCGGATGAGTGACACAGGACCTCTCTCTTCTACTTGGGGATCGAGGTGCACCAGATGACTCCGGATCACGCTTGACAGACCGCCACGCCAAGCGCGTCGTTGAGCTAGCCGGGCTCACCGATCGCAACCCAGCTCTCACTCCGATGGAGGAGAGGTCAAGTCGAGCCGCGACAACAACGCATGGAGGAGGTGGACGCTTCTGCATGCCGGCGTCTTGTGGGGAGCCTTCGCTACCTCCCCCACACACGGCCGGACCGGCATTCTTCGTCGGCTCGTTAGTCGGTTCATGCAATGACCGACAACGAGAGCACCAACAGTCGTGAAGAGGATCATCCGCTATGTTGCGGGGGCGCCGACCACGGCCTCTACAACCCTAGGTGCCCTGGGCGGCACACTTCGCTCACAATGACCATGCCGCGTGACATCGACACCAAAGAAGAGCACGAGCGGGATCCTCTTCTTCCTCGGCAAGTGCCTCGTTAGGCTGGCGGTCGGTCAAGCAACAGGTGGTGGCCACTGTCCCACCAAGCGAGGCCGAGTACATAGCGGCCTCCACCGCTTCGACTCAGCGCCTGCTCGCCCCGATCGCTTGGTGATCTCCTCGGCGGAGACACTAGAGCGGTGGAGCTCTGGGTGGACAACAAGTCCACTGCCCCAACAAAGAACCCCGTTTTCCATGAACGGAGTAAGCACATCCGGGTGAGGTACCACTTCATCCGAGACTGCTTTTGACGACGGGAGCATCAAGGCGAAGCTACATCAACATCAAGGACCAGAAGACTGCTCACCAAGCCCCTTGGGAGGATCAAGTTCCTTGAGCTCTGCTCCAGGACCGGGATGGTTCAACTTTCCCACAAAACGACACACAAGACTTAGGGGGAGAATGATGGATAAGTCTATGTGGTCTTTGTGGGGCTGCAGTAGTCTTTGTGGTCTGTTTTTAGAGGACAGCAGCAGCAGCATCCTGGACAGAGGACAGTAGCAGCAGCATCCTTGACTGGCATCTTAGCATCCTTAGGATAACATCTTAGAAGCATCTTAGGACAGCATCTTAGAGGACATCATATTAGCATCTTAGACTAGCATCTTGGCATATGCTTGGCTGGCTAGCAGCCTATAAATATGTATCCCCAACCCCTCAGGTTGGCATGGCATTTGTGTGAGTTTATGTGAGAAATAAACCAGAAAATTGCCCCAACTCCTAGTGTCATCCTCTCTCGATGAGAGTAAGAATTCTGCTACTACCGAGAGTGAGAGTTCAACGACTAACAAAGAAAATGTGGTTGTACATGCTTTATCCAGGGTAGCTCACCTCATGGTCATTCAAGCAGCTTTCACTCTTTTTCGACCAGCTTTGGATCCAAGAGGTCTTGAATTCCTACACCACAGATCCCAAAGCTCAACTGCTGTTGTTGCGACAATTAACTCAGATCAAGCCACGATGCTAATGGGTTCGGTCTCGGCGTGGTCTCATTAGACACAATGGCAACATTTGGATTGGCCAAAATTCACTTTACAAACGAAGATCATTGTTGCTTTTCATTCAAGTGCTTTGGGAGGCCATTCGGTATGACACCTACCTACTACAAACTAAGGAAGCATTTTGCTTGGAAGGGTATGAAGCGGGATGTAGAGAGTTATATCAAGCAATGTTCATCATTAACATGCTAAACATCCATTACAAAGATCCAAGAACTCAAGGCAACCCTTGCACATGCTGTAAGGAGTTTGGAGAGATGTTTCTATGGATTTCATAGAGGGTTTGCCCAAATCTGATGGGTGCAATGTCATTTTAGTAGTTGTGGACAGGCTGACTAAGTATGCCCATTTTATTCCTGTGAAGCATCCTTACACCGCCAAAGACTATTGCTCGTGCATTCCTAGATAATATGGTGAAGTTGCATGGCTTACCAAATTCTATTGTCGATGATGAGATACAATGTTTGTCGACCACTTACGGACACAACTGCTTAAGTCAGTACAAAGTCAATTTAACTCGAAAGACAAAGATATATCATCCTCAAACGGATGGACAAACTGAAAGAGTAAATCAGTGTTTAGAAATGTTTCTCAGATGTTCAGTGCAAGACTCTCCCAAGACCTGGAAATCTTGGCTTTCACTAGCAGAATTGTGGTATAATTCCTCCTATCACAGTTCATTAGGTTGCTCACCTTTCAAGGCTCTTTATGGGTATGAACCAAATGTGGGTGCAATACCTCAAATACCAGAAACTGCTTGCCCATCAGTAGCTGAGGTCATTAAGAACAGAGAACTTCATCTGCAATCCCTCAAGCAAAATCTGGCACGAGCTCAGAATAGGATGAAACTGATGGCTGACAGAAAACGAACTTACTGTCATTTCAGTGTGGGTGATCATGTGTTATTGAAATTACAGCCCTACACTCAATCTACAGTGGCCCTTTCCCAAGCTAGCATACAAGTATTTCGGTCCTTATACAGTACTGGAATGAGTTGGATCAGTTGCCTATAAATTAGAATTACCAGAGGGCACTATGATTCATCCTGTCTTCCACATATCACAGCTGAAGCCATTTGTGGCAGACTATACTCCTGTGTTCGATACGCTACCAGTAACTACAGACTTGGAAGCTGCAGCAGCTGTCCTGGACAGGATCATTGACAGGCGTCTGGTCAAGAAAGGGAATACAACAATTCCTCGGGTCAAGGTTCTCTGGACTGGTCTACCACCATCCGCCGCAACGTGGGAGGATTATAATGTTCTGCGGCAACGTTTTCCTGATGCTCAAGCTTGGGGACAAGCTTCATCTTCGGCGAGGGGAAGTGTCACAGGTGACACAGCGGAACACTGAGCAGGAGAACATCGGTGGAGGCGTCTTCCTAATAGCTTGGCGTATTTTCATTATTTACTTTGTTACTCAATGTTTGTAACGTGGGCCCAGGGCCAGAGTCTTTCCGGCATACATATGCCTGGACATTGTAAGCGAACATCTTATCGAACAAGTAAAGTAAAACACGAACACGCTAAGGCAGGGGCTTTCCTCGCCGGCGTCTTCTCCCCCGATCTGTGCCTCTCGTAGTGCTCACGTCGACGGCTTGACGCCAGCGGCCACGGGTGTTACAATCTCTGACATCTACTAGCAGAGCCTGACAAAAGGCAGCACGCAAATGATAAACATCAGCGCTATTGCATCCCCTCACAAAACAAAACATACATAAATAGATATAGTTGCAGAAAGCAATCAAGAACCTGTCTGAAAGTGGACACCTCAGCTGTGTAACCATCTTCTATCCCAGCAATTTTCAACTCCATTGCAGCCTTCACGATCTCATCTTTCTCAGCCTTCTCTGTAACGCCTAGCATCTACACAGTCATTGTTAAACTTAAACATGTCAACCAACAAGTTAAAAAGGACAAACGGTCCAATCAATTGTGAACTGATCAGACGAAATTTCAGAACGCGTTCACACATATTTTTTACTCAAAAATGAGGGAAGCGCATAAAATTACAGATGCGTACAATGAATTCGACTTGTTATAGGAAAATGCTGATTCAATCTGCAACCGCCTAGACAATTAATTGACAGGGGGCCGCGGAAAAACGAACCGAATCAGATCAGGAGGCGATCAGAGCAACAGAAGGTGAGCGTCATTTCGAAATTGCAGTTGACTCGAACCATTCACCTGATAGCACGTGACGGGGATCTCCACCATTGGTGCAGCGGGATGAGCCTCCTGCCTGCCGCCCTCGGCCGCCACCGGCGCGGCCTCGGCCACCCTAGCACGCAGGGCCGGCCCTCGCCCACCGCCGGCAAGTCGTCCACCCGCCGCCAAGGACGCATTGCCGTTCCCGACCCCCGCTCGCCGCGTCGAGACCGCCGGGTGAAGCGCCGCCGCGGCCGCGGAGGCCACCGTCGGCATCACCATGGCCGGGCTCTAGAGAACCAACCCTAGCCGGAGGCCTCCATGTGCGGAGGGAGCTTTGCAGGGGCGTCGGGGGGTTTTGCGGGGGTGGGAATAAAGCAGGGGGCGGAAGGGAGAAAGCGCCAGTGAAGAGGGGGAGGGAGGAGGAGGAGGCGTCGTGAAGGCGAAGCCGGATGCCGGAGGGAGGGAGGGGGGTTGGGGGCCGATGGATCGTGCTCTCTCCGTGGACTTGGTCCTTGCGCGCTTTGTACACGTGGCATGGTAGTTCGTGTTGGACGAGAGAGTTCAGGTGCTGACAGTGACATGCGGCCAGTATTTCTTTTTCTTTATTTTTTTCTCTCACACACACATTGGTTTTCTTAGCCTACCTAGCTCAGCAATTTCATTTTTAAAAATGTTTTATATATAGTTTTGAACTACATCTGTTTGATACGGGCATTTTGGAAGGCAGTGTCTGGTTCATACTTCATGGCCCAGTAAATTTAGAACAGCTCTAACATAGCAAGTACTGAACTTTCCTTTATCCACAGAAAGAAACAAGTTAGTAGGATGCAATGCATACCAAAAATGTCCTTTTCTCTTTCTCGAGAATCACTTAGATTTTGTGATTATTTTCCCATAAAATTCTCGTACGAAAAAGAATCTTCGTTGGACGAAAGGTCCACCTCGCTCCCAAAGCCAGAATTTCGGAAAGAGCGTTACTTCCAAACGAACAGGCGGAACGGGCCGCTCGCGATCCATTTCCCCGGCAATTTCATTTCCTGGGCCGGGCTGAATTCCGCTCCTCAGAAGACAAGTTGGGGGAAAACAAAAAACAAAAAAACGCCCCCTCGCCAACAAATCTCGCCCGCGGAACAGAACTGGTGGCGCACTGTCCATTGGTATCTTCCAGAAGATTCCTCTCCTCCCCCACGCGCTGCCTCCGCTCCGCTCCGCTCATGGCGTCCGCGCCGAGCACCACGGCGCCCACCCTCGCACCCTCTCTCCGCACGCTGGTCTCCTCGGGCCCCCGCGGGGCCCGCCTCCCCGCCGCGCTGCGCCTCTCTTGCGCTCAGCCCGGGCCCGCCGGATGCCACGCGGCGCCAGGTCGGCTTGCTCGCCCTCGCGCGCGCGTCCGGTGCGGCGCGGCGGCCAGGTTCATTGGGCAGGGAGAGTTCCCCGCGGAGGTGCTGGAGTCGGAGCTGCCCGTGCTCGTGGACTTCGTCGCCGACTGGTGCGGGCCGTGCCGCCTCATCGCGCCCGTCGTCGATTGGGCCTCCGAGGTATAGGTTACCCTGCTGCCTCTCGCGGCACGTTTGGTTGGAGGTAATTGAAAGAAGGGAATAGGAGTTTGGAGGTAGTAGGAGTTAAATCTTTCGTTTGTTTTGTGGGAATGGGATTTTAGGTGGGAAGCGGAATGTGTGTTTAGAGGGCCAACTCCCACTAATCAATTCCCTGGGGTGGGGTGGTAATTGGATGGGAATTGTGCTCCTAATGACTTGTCATATAATTTTCCTCTCAAACCCCCACACCAAACAGAGGATGAATTCCCTCCTCTAACCCCCACACCCAACAAACAATAGATTGGGGCTAAAAGCAAATTTCCACCTTAACTCCATCCGTCAACTCCCACCACTAATTCGCATTGCCCCTTCCCTTCCATGTAGTTGCCAAACACACCGTAGGTCATGTTTTTATTCGTTTGTGCTGGTGCTATGTCCTATTCTGGATAATGACTGATTAATAGAGAGCGATGTAGAGTAATTTGGTAACATCGACGATGCTAATAGAAGCCAAAGTATCAGATAAGGTAATGAACAGCCTTTTAAGTGGGGCTTGAGACAACTAAGAAAAATCAAAGTACAGCAATTATCCATACTCCCATGTTTGTGATTTGACTTGACATCAGTATACAAGTCCGGAGTCCAGTTTTTGTTTTCATGAAATTCAGTGACCAAAACGCTTTATAAAGGGAGCACACAGCACACCGTTCATCAGGTGTGGAAGCTATTATTATTAGGAACACTGGAACTATTTGGTCCTTTCCTAAATTTAAGAATTGCATTGCATTTTAATAGTCTTGTGTAGAAGCCATTGGTTAACTAATATCATTGGCACCTCTTAGCAGAATGTGATGCTTTAAGCATATGCGTTTAAGGAAACACTATTGCTTGCGTCTAATCAAATTTATCAGCTTTGATAAAGTCTAATCTTGTGACACAGGAATATGCTGGGCGATTAAAAATTGTCAAGATTGATCATGATGCCAATCCACAGCTGATTGAAGAGTACAAGGTTTTTGGTCTCCCGACTTTGATTCTCTTCAAGAATGGCCAAGAGGTGCCAGGTAGCCGATATGAAGGGGCAATGATAAAAGATAAGTTCAAGCAATACCTGGAACCTCTCTTGACTACAACAGTCGCTTAAGATCATTACCTGCAGCTTGAGCACTGAGGATGCCTACCCTACGCATTGAGAATGTTGAAGAGTTTTTCCTTGCATGAGCGTCATGTTTAGTTTGTAATTAACTATGCTGCAGGATCATGTTTGACTGTATGATTGTCATTTGCGTATATTTGGTACAGTATACATGAAGGGTTGTGATGAGATATGCCAACACTAATTTTAATACAAGCAAGTTTGTTTTCGATATCTTTGTGGCACATAATGGTTGTTTCCAAAATTAGATGACTGATACAGATGGTCAATCTGCAGTGTAAGTTTTGATATACCCATGTTGTATTCTTGGTCAAATATCCACTGTTCTGTTTACCGTTTAGCGATTAGGATAACTCTGAAATATCCCTTCGCCTCTGAGGTTAGCCAAAATATCAAACGCATCATATGAACTGAAATACAGAACTAGCAAAGTATCAAACGCAATCATATGAACTGAAATACAGAACTAGCTTCTTTCCATAGCTTGATGCATTCAGCCAAAATAGTACAGAACTAGCTTCCATTCCATCAGACCAAAGTTCACCTGATACAAGCTCGGTTTCTGTCAGACATGGACTGAAACCATGAAGACCCGGGCAGCTTCAGGATTTCTGCTTCCATGAGCCCTCTCACCCTTCTTGCGCCGTCCCAATCGTGCTGGCCGGCGAGCGTGTTGCACAGCAACATGTATGTCGACGGGTCATCGTTCTCGAGCGCAAGCGCATGCTCTGCAGCCCTCCTGCCAACAGCCTCGTTGCCGTGACGGTGACAGGCACCAAGCAAGGCCTGCCAGACCAGAACGCCAGGCTGGAATGGCATCCTTGATATCAGCTCTTCAGCCTCCTCGATATGGCCTGCTTTGCCAAGGAGATCGACCATGCAAGCGTAGTGGTCCTCGCCGGGCTGAATGCCAAACTTGTCCTCCATGGCATTGAAGTAAATCCAACCTTCGTCCACGAACCCACCTTGGCTGCAAGCATAGAGAACGCAGATCAAAGTGACGCGGTTGGGAGCTACACCCCTCAGCAGCATGTCGTCGAACACCCCCACAGCTTCCCAAGCTCGCCCGTTGTGCGCGAAACCCATGATCATCGCCGTCCAGGAGATAACAGGCCGCTGCTGCATCGACTGGAACACCTTGTGAGCACAGGCCACTGACCCGCATTTCGCATACATGTCGATGAGCGCATTGTTGACGCCTATGTCGGAGTCGTCTCCCAGCTTGATCACATACCCGTGAACTTTCCTTCCTTCGTCAAGGTCGGTGAGGCTTGCGCAGACATTAGCCAACGTTGCAAACGTGTAGTTGTTGGGCATGACTCCGTCCAGCATCATCTGACTGAGAATGCCAATCGCCTTGGCAGGCTCACCGCAGTGTAGGCAGCCAGCGGCCATCCCTGTCCACGACACAACATCTTTGCAGCGGATCTCAGCGAACGCCATGGTACCATCTGCTAGGCATTTGCTCTTCATATACATCTCCACCAAGGAGTTCCCCACATAGACATCATCACCAAAGCCACTCTTGACGAGCTGGGCGTGAACTTGCAGACCGCTTGCCAAGCTTGCACTGCCCGCCAGTCCAGAAAGAACTGTGCTGAACGAGAACCCGTCGGCGCCAACGGCGTCCCTGGCCATCCTCCGCCACAGGATCCAACCCTGCACGCTCCAATGGCGCGCGAACCCCGCGAGCAGCGTGTTCCACGAGACGGTGTCTCGGACGGAAGCGCCGTCGAACAGCCGCACCGCGTCCTCGAGCTGCCCGTGACGGGCCATCGCAGCGAGGAACGCGTTCGTCAGGAAGACGCTGGAGTCGAAGCCAAGCCGCACCGAGAGCGCGTAGAGCTGCCGCGCACACCCGGTGCCCGCGGGTGCCAGCGAGCTCGCGTTGAGCGCGCTCGCCAGCGCGAACTCGTTGGGCGGGCACCCGGCGAGGCGCATCCGGCGGAACAGCGCGAGCGCGTCGCGGGGCCGGCCCCCCTGCGTGAGCCCCGCGATGGCGGCGGACCACGAGACGGCGTTGCGGCAGGGCATTTCGTCGAGCACGTGGAGGCCCCGGCGATGGAGGCGGCATTTGAAGTAGGCGATGAGGAGGTGGTTGTGGAGGAAGACATGGGACGCGAGGAGGCCCGGCTTGAGCAGCGCCGCGTGGACGGCCGCGGCGAGGCGCGGGTCGGCGGTGGCGGCGCTGCGCTGGAGGAGCGCCGCATATGGGTAGGAAAGGAGGGGCTGTTGCTGCTGCTGGTGGGAGGAGGTTGCGGCAGGGAAGGCGCGGGCCGCGGGGTTCCACGGAGGCGGCAAGGGGAGGACGCCGCACGGCAGCTGGTGGGCGCGGGCGGAGCGGCATGCCGGCATTGCGGCCGCACCATCGGCTCCCAACCGGGCACAAACCTGGCCCAGCCGGGCTTAGGTATTTCGTGTCCCAAATAAGTGGGATTTAGTACAGTACAGTATTTTCGCATGAAAAAAAATTAATACCCTCGGTGAGGCCACTTTGAACGTAGAAATTGTACAGAAATTTATATGAATCAATTCATTCTAATAACATGAGAAAAATTAGAGGAAAGGGGGGTCTGTTTGGAATGTATTAATTTCACAGGAATCAGTTCAATTTTACATAAAAAACACGGGAACGGAAAATATTTCCAAGCAGGCCCTAAGTTTTCCTCTATTCCGAAGTGTGGACTGGAAGATTTCAACTTGCGCCTTGTTTAGATTGCAAAAAAAGTGAACCCGATGAATAGTGTCACTTTCGTCTTATTTGACAAATATTGTTCAATCGTGGACCAACTAGGCTCAAAAGATTCATCTCGTGATTTCCAACTAAACTGTATAATTAGTTTTTTTTAACCTACATTTAATACTCCATACAAACGGCTAAAAATTGATGTGATGGAGAGAGAGTAAAGGATGGCATATAAACAAGGCCTTGGTGAATGAACGAGCGTTACCTAAGAACATTGACTCAGAATGAAAAAAAGCTACTTAAAAGGAAGAAAGAACGAAACAAAGCTTGCATTACAGTTCTTCTGTATTAGCACATTATGGTAAAGGTTCCAGAAAGAAAAGAAAATGGACATATTGCATAGAGGTTCAGTCATCATCATCAACAAAAAGAAAAGAAAGTGGATCTCGTTCATCTGACAACAGGCATCTAAAGATTTAGCACTTCAAGTGAAGGAACCAAGAATCATCTTACAACATGCAACTAGGAAGCAACAGCTACGTCTACTTTGGGGGCTTCTTGTAGTTTCTTCTGTGATTCTTTCATGTACTTCCACCCACGTTTGTTAACCCCGCTGATCCTAGTTGGGGCGTCTGCAGCTTGCACACCTACAAGAGAATCTGATTAGGAGACATGACTTCTTTATGAGCTAACAAAAGATGCCTTTTTCGTTCCAACTGTAACTCTGAAAGGCGTCAACAATGAATGCTTCAGTATTGTGCTCCCTGACGGTTGACAGTAACCAGAACACAAACAGCCAAACAGGATAGGCTTGAGGGGAAATCAGTCAAAACAACATGAATTTAATCATGATTAAGACACTTTGACAAACAGCTGGCGAACTAAGAAGCATACATTAGAACCTTTTGAACAAAATGCAAAACAAACTGCTATATGTAAACACGAATACATGCATCTGTCCTTTGGATATTCTGAAAGATGTCTTTATATCCTTGTATTATTGAAAAGGAAATTACATAAATATTAATATCCTGTAGGAATAATATCATTCATGCACAGAATAAATTACAGAACAATCAACTAAAGATTCAGGACACTGGCCGTCGCACACAAACACGTATACATAGCATAAGTGGACTTACACGCTACAACCAAATCAATAAAATATTTGAGACTCAGATACTTGTATGCCTTGTTGATAGATCTTAGAAATTGCAGGCAAATATATTACTCAAATGATTAATTCAGGATGAAAACATTTGACTGGCTTGAGAGTAATCCCTAGTTTCACACCTCAATTAGTATTCTTTTATGTTGAACCTAACAAGTAACAACTAACTTTATCTCTTGCCTCATAAGTGAACCCGTGGTCAAGATGTAATACTCTGGATCTGCTCTCTTCTTCTTTATTGGATCCTACTTTGCAGATCAATTTACAGTTTTGTGACAAGAATATTGCTACTTGACAATTTGTTTTTAGTGAGCATGCAAGAATCAGATCAGGAATTTCATCAACAGCTTTGACTTTTACTTGAACAGAAGCTAATTTTTGTCACTCTTTTTTTTTTTGCCTGTGTTAGGGCAAATGTATAGACCTACGACTGTAACCAAAGAAACAAAGGTCTTCACTGAATAGAAGGCCCCGGTTGGAGATCCTACTAATTGCAAAAAGTAAGAAGAATAAAGATATAACATTGGGAATAACCAAGGATTTTAGGAGATGACATTTATTTCAGCAGAGTTTTAGAATTGAAATGGTTTGCTGACAATTACAGTTCCTCCTTTGTTTAAGGTTATGTGATCTTTTTTTATTTGTTTTGTTCAAGAATATTGTTGGTCAACTTTTTTTGTACTCCCAACATTTGAAATTACTAGGAATATTTTTTTCATTGGGACAAGCCTTTGACCAACAGGTTCTTTATTTATACATGATTTTTGAAATACAAAACTGATGTTATTAGATTCGTATTGAAAAATATTTACATGAATATGATATTGTATCCATTCTAGGTCAAAGTCTTGTCCTAAGAAATGAAATACACCTGCTGATCTCAAACGGTGAGAGTATTGCTCATTTCAGAGACTGGTTCCTCTAATTTGTAATCCCTTTCCTTTTTTTTACCTCTCACCTGTTTCAACTTGCTTTTTTTTTACACCCAAGCTATTTTTTTGCTAAATGCTAATACTCTATAATGCACTTGCATGATGCCACAAAACGTCTCAAAAGTTTCATAGGCATTCCTCTATTGTGTATGATTTTTTACAGACATGTGCGCCATGTCTACTACTACTAGTAAGGAACAAAGGATGCAGAGAAGGGGTAAATACTAACCTGCCTTGTAACGAATCCCCCACGCCTTTCCATGCCGACCGTCCTGCATTGCGAATATCACAACAAATCGATTGGAATGAAATACAAAGGAAAAAATTCAATGGTAAGCGCGCAGGAAGAGCGCTCAGGGGACTGTATCACCTTGTATAGGTTGATCTTGGTGATCTGGTAGGATACATCGCGCCAGGTGGTCTTGGCAACCTTGTATCCAATGCCCCACTCTGGCAGGAACTGCACCACATCGAACAGATTCTTCTTCCTCCTCTTCGCCTTTAGCCTCCTCGGCCACCGCCGCACCCTCCGCCGCCGGTGTGGCAGTGGTACTCAGGGCTCTCTGTGCCGGTGGCGCTGTAAACACAATGGAGCGCCGAAGCAGGCACATCGCACGCTGCGCCATGGTCATCGGGAACCTATGCAGCACAAATAAGGATACGCGTGTTGGTATCGCGCCGATACAGATATGTCGACACGCAATCCCCCCCCCACCCCCAAAAAAAATACAAGGATATTTTCTTAAATAAATAAATGTAATGCATACTAAAATTCTGGTAGCAGAAATAGTGGGAGGTTGGAGGATTGAAGTATACAACACCAGCCATCTACTCCTTAAGAAATGAAGAAGTAGCCAGCAGGGGCGGACCCAGTAAAGGGCATGAGTGTAATACATGTATACTATAGTACACTTGTAATGACTGGATTAGATCCTTCGAATACAAATAGCTAGGGTTTGGGTGCTCCGTTTCGCACGACAGAAACGGAAGACCAGGGGTGGCGGTACCTGTTGATGCTCGTCGGCGGCGAAGGTGCCGAGGATGGAGATCTGGGCACCTGGCGTAGGGCGGCCGCCAATCGTCGCCGGCCCCCACAGAGACAGACAGAGCGCACGCGACGGGCACGGGAGAAACGAGTGCAGTATGTCGGGAGAGAGCCCGCCGCCGCCCGCCGTGGAACTGGAGGCAGTCCGCAGGATGTAGGCTACGGCGCACGGGCCACTAACAAAGTTGCTGTTAAATCCCTCCCTATATGGGCTGAAATTTGAATTTGGTCGAAAACTAGTACATCCACATATCTGGGTCAGCCCGTGACAAACTGGGCCGAGACACAGACACGCGGTGTCTCTGTTACTTGCCCGCTTAAGCCCTCGCCCTCCTCCTGCCACTTCTGCTTGCTCCCCGCCGACCGGGACCCGGCTCAGCCTCTGTAGCATCACCGCCGCCGCCGCCGCCACCTCGCGCTCCACAGTCCTCCCGCCCTTCCCGCGCCTGGTCTGCCCCCTCACGCTCCCGATGTCGTCTTCCGCCGCGGCGCTCGTGTGGCGCCGCACCCTCCGCGACGCCCTCCTGCGCGGCTCCGCGTGCCGCGGCGCGGCGCCCGCGCGGTACGCCAGCACGGCCTCCGCGTCCGGCGCGGCGGCGGAGGCGGCAGCCGCAGCCGCGCCGAAGAAGGTGCCCCCGCCACCCCGCAAGGTAACAGCGCTCGCTCCCGCCGCCACCGTCTCCTCGGCATTTGGACATACACGTCACGTGCAGTGCAGTGATCTTGCCGAGCTTCCCCCGTTCTCTTTCTCAGCAAAGCTGCCTAGCTAGCATGAGGAGCGATAGATTTTGAGTTTGTGGTCGGCGTGCTGCTTATTCGCTTCTTAGTACCTTTAGCGGCCCTCACTGTGCTTGATGCTGCTGATTCGTTGGATGTTTTATGCTGCCTTAACCCATTGTGTCTTAGGAAAGATGTCTTTTCGTTATACCTTTTTGCCACGGTTTTTTACCATCTGTCTTGACATGGACATGATGTCATACCAAAACTAGCTCTTATCAGTATTTTTTTAGTACAACAACAGTACAGGGCTGACTCTTCAATCAAGGAGTCTGAACATGTTAACAAAAAAAAAATGTGGTCTTTCCAGCAATGCCAATCAACTGAAAAACTTAATGCATTCCTTGCTGTGAAAGATTTTGTGAGGTCTCAATCATAGATTGGATTTAATTAAGCAGGCTGCTAAAAAAACTTCATGAATTAACTGTGATTTCTTCCATTGCCCATTATTTGGGTTTTGCTTCATTAATTTGTTTTTTTGTGGTTATTTTCACTGTGGCAGGGAAGGTTTTTAACTGGGGCCATGATAGCGTTGGCCATTGGTGGAGGTGCTTATGTGAGTACCGCAGATGAAGGAAAGTTTTGGTGCGTGATATTGAGCTCTTGACTATTAATTATCTAGAACTGGTTCTAATTTTATTTGGAATATAGTGGAACTACCCCCTTATGTGCTTGAAAAACTGTACTAACTGGTATTTTTGAAAGCTCATTAGGTTGTTGCCATTTGTAGCATTATTAATTGACTACCCCTTCACTGAACCCTTTCTAATCGTGCAGTGGCTGGTTATTCAAGTCGACAGAACTCGTGAACCCACTATTTGCACTGCTGGATGCAGAGTTTGCTCATAGTTTAGCTGTTAAAGCTGCTGCCCATGGATTTGTTCCAAGAGAAAAGAGACCTGATCCACCAGTTCTTGGGCTAGAGGTTTGGGGAAGGAAGTTTGCAAACCCAATTGGCCTTGCTGCTGGCTTTGATAAAAATGCTGAGGCAGTTGAAGGTCTCTTAGGCATGGGATTTGGCTTTGTGGAAGTTGGCTCTGTGACACCTCTTCCTCAAGAGGGAAATCCCAAGCCTCGAATTTTCAGATTAAAGGAGCATGGGTAAGCATTTGTGTTTTGTTACTGATATCAAATTTTTTCATCTCAATCAAGTTCCAGAAATTTCAGAATGGCGTACTAATTAGGTTCTATGCTGCTGTTTTCTTTGTTTCCCTTAAGTGCTGTAATCAACCGATGCGGATTCAACAGTGAAGGAATTGTAGTTGTTGCTAAGCGTCTTGGGGCACAACATGGTAAGCGGAAGATGGAAGAAACTTCAAGCTCCGCGCCTCCCGCAACCAGCGACATAAAGCAAGGAGGAAAAGCAGGACCTGGAATCTTGGGGAGTCAATCTTGGCAAGAACAAGACTAGTGAAGATGCTGCTGCTGACTATGTGCAAGGGGTTCATACATTGTCACAATATGCTGATTACTTGGTACCCGTCCTTTGCGCATACTAATTTCACACTATAGTTTTGCTATTTCCGGTTTCTTATGAGCAGGTTCAGATAAATTCTGTTGTTAGAACCAGAAATTTTGCATTTATTCATTTTATGCATTCTCATTTAGTTTTGCCTAACAAACAGAGAAACATAATGTCTGAACATTTTCTTTTTTCAACTTGATCTTGGTGTCATTGGTCGAACAGTCACAGGTGCATGATTGATTAGACAAGTAATGCTACTTAAGTACACTTTGGTCATGTTATTGTGTCTCAAAGCATGAAATATTGTGAAGTTTGATGGATTTTATGGGTGGACTTAATGTTTGGACCTTGTTTAATTGTGAGGCATGTTTTTACTCTTAATGAAGGTCATAAATATTTCTTCCCCAAATACTCCTGGTCTTCGCAAATTACAAGGTAGAAAACAACTGAAAGATCTTGTGAAGAAGGTGGGTAGCTGTTTTAACTGAAGTGTCTTCGCTACGTTAGCATGGGAAATCTGTATGGCTCACACTGGATGTACAGGTGCAAGCTGCACGAGATGAGATGCAGTGGGCTGAAGATGGACCTCCACCATTGCTTGTGAAGATTGCACCAGACTTGTCTAAGCAGGATCTTGAGGATATTGCTGCGGTGAGATATTGAACTTAGCCTTGTTCTACAAACTTGTACATCGTATAATTGAGAATCTTATGCCTTTTCTCAATGTATTCCAGGTTGCTCTTGCTCTTAGGTTGGATGGCCTGGTAGGTTTACAATCCTCCCACAACTAATTTTGCCATAGCACTAGCTAGTATAATCTTGTGTAACTTTCATGCCTATTTGTGCTTCTCTCATATAAATATTATGCTAATCCTGCTCATTATTTTATCGTTGTTGACCAAACAGATTATATCAAACACCACTGTTTCCAGACCACCACCTGCAGATAAAGATCCATTGGCTCAGGAAACTGGTGGGTTAAGTGGGAAACCTTTGTTTGACTTATCTACTAACATTCTCAGGGAGATGTATATGCTTACACGAGTACGTGTGTTACCCCTATTGCTTTCGTGAAAACTACATTTCTTTGCTTAAGCATCTTTGCACTGATCAGCAGCTGTATTCTTTTAGTAAAATAGCTAGTTATTGGAACCTTGTTCATGCACAACTGATGTGTATCTCTTTCAGGGCAAGATTCCCCTCATAGGCTGTGGTGGTGTGAGCAGGTAATGGGATTTCTGTATACTTAACTGAATCTTTTGCACTTTCAATGCACATAATTTCAACCAATCTGTATACTTAATTACAGTGGTGAGGATGCATACAAGAAGATCCGGTCTGGAGCTACACTTGTTCAACTTTATACTGCTCTTGCATATGGTGGTCCAGCTCTTATACCCAGAATGAAGGTTAGTATAAGTTAAACACCATTGTTACATATGAACCTTGCATGTTGTCTTGCATCACTATGTCCTTAATTCAATGTTTTGGAAGAGAAAATAAAAATGACGTTTTCGTAGCCAATACTGTAGGATTCCAAGAAGACATAGGTATATTTTTCCAAAGAGCCTCTACTCCATCTAATGTGTGCTGCACTTTACAAGACTCAAATACATTGTTCATTAAGCTAATGAGATACTAATAGCTCATTTGCCATTTTCAGGCTGAGCTAGCAGAATGTTTGGAAAGAGATGGTTTCAAATCTGTTCAGGAAGCAGTCGGTGCTGATTTCAGATGATCCTAGCAGATTGCCAAGAAGGCCTGAATAACCATTCCATTAAGTTCATATGAACTTTTGTGTAAGCATGCTTTCCAATTTCATTTTAGCCAGTACTTGAAAAGAAATACCGAGGTGAAACTTTCTTGGGTGAGTGGTACTCATTAACCTAAGCAATGAGCGGCTGTGTCACGTGTGCATACATGAGCTTTGGTTCTGTTTGCCTGGGTTCAAGCAAGGTGTACAACAGATTTTGGTCAAAGTTTGTGTATATTACTATATTTTATGGCATCCTTTTGAAAGATAAGTGTTGGTTTGATGCATTAGGAGCTCAAGATGGCTTTGAGGTACCCTTACCCTGATATATCCGAAATTGCAGTTTGACCCATTGTTAATCCTCGAAATAAATGTGTTTGGTTTGTACTGCACTGCATTAACATGTCTGTATATTGTTTCCTAACTTAATGATAAGACAGTTCTTACTTATCAGTTTTGAGTAAGCAATGTAGATGGGGGTTTTAAATTGGATCGTCAGTCATCTTTTAGTTGCTCTCATATTACAGGATAGTAGGATGAAATATTTCTTTACCATGACTGCAAGTGAGCCTCTGTGCAAGTCTAGGAAAGCATCATGAAATGTGTGATGCATGTCCTTCCAGTTGAATGGCAACTGATCGTTCATTATCTACGATTATACAATATAAAATGGACCAGACTTGCTATCATCCTTTGGTTCCTCTCATGTCACTTGATATTGTGATGAAATATCTAAATATCATGATTGTGCAAGTGCCCATGATTCCCCACTCGCTCATTTGAAATGTCTCCCATTTACATAGAAGTCTAAGAAACACATCATGCATCGAGCTAAGCTGACCAGTGAGCACCCCTGCTGCATCCTGCATGTGCATGAACAGAATCCTGGACTTCAACTACAGGGTTGGTAAGGTGTCATGTTAGTTGCTGCTGCTCACACTACACATCCACACTATCATTAGCCATTTATATAAATAAAATATACTGCTAGTGTGAGGTCTACTGGCCCCTGGTGGTTGATAGATTTTGTTTATCATTGAGCACTTGTCGTGTATACCCATGTAATAGCCTACTAATAGCGTAGCATCGAGCCCCACAACAACGAGGTCGAGCCTCTCTTTAGTCCCTATCCATTCGTCGCCTCACGACTGATGTTGCCTGTCCATCTCTAGTCCATTCCGTGGCGCGTCAGCATCGACCAAGATTGGTTGTTACTCGTGTTCTTTTGCAAAATTTTCTGTCTACTAGCGCTAATCTTCAGATTGGCAACGTAATGTAATCCCCATGCAATTTAATGTAACCTACCGGAGCGCTGTTGCATCTGAATATTTTTACCGTCGGTGGGTTAGTGGCATGCGTATTCTTTTCTCCGTGTGGGAAGGGACCAGGGAGCACCTGCTCTGCTGCTCCTCGAGTTTCCCTTTCTTTTAACGAACTTTCCATGGCTTTTGGCCGCCCAGATGACGTGATGGAGCCTGGACCGCTCTGCCTGCGTCTTCGTGATGGGTCTCCGTCGCTTGCTGCTCGCCACTTGTTGCGTCGGTGCGGCTTGGCTCTTCTGAAACTGAAAGGGGTCCATGTAGTACCCGTACATTTCAGTTCACGTACCACTAAGCCCTTTTTTTTATTCCTCGCTCTAAAGCTTAGTTCCTCGCTCTAAAGCTTAGTTCGTATCCCATGGGATGTTTATATACATGTATGAAGTATTAAATATAGACTAAAAAAATAATTAATTACACAGATTACGATTAATTTGCGAGATAAATTTTGTAATCCTAATTAGTCCATGATTTAACAATGTTGGGCTACACTACAGCTACAATAAACATGTGCTGATGTCGAATTAATTAGGCTTAATAAATTCGTCTCGTGGATTTTAAGGACTTTTGTAATTTGTTTTATTATTATTATATGAACAATCTCATATGATACCCCTAAACTTTAACCCATGTATTTAAACACCACCTAAACAAAACATTATAGTAGTCGTACATTAAAGAAGAAGCAGCCAAAGATTCTTCTCGGCCCTGTTCGTTTTGTTGAAAAGCCAGATTAAAAAATACCGTTCGTTAATTTGCTGTGAAAGAAAACATTGTACCTGATAAGCCAGCGTCGTCCAAAAGCTGACAATCTGATGCGTGCTTGGCAACCTCAGGCCTCCCGAACTCTGATGCTCTGGAACTTGGAAGCAGCCTCCTCCAAAGTCCAAACAACTCGCATGTTTGTTACTTTGTTACTAACGAAATTCTAGCAGAATTCCATCCTTTTTAAATTTTTTCTTTTGTTTCACAAAAACATGTTCGGAACTGAACAGTTCTATGTCAAATCTATGAAATTTAAAGGGACGCGACAGGTCTGTGCTATAGATGGAAGTGCTACCTCTCCCTCTCACCCTTTTCTCTGATGAACCTGACCGGTCGTGGAAAGAGTTGTTTCCACTGGTCATCATAGATTCCTACTCCCACAGGACAAAATTTGATCTAAGTGGCATGACAAAAAAAAAAGAACATCTGCAAAAGGATGCAATTTTAGTGTAGACAACCTCAGTCAAAAGCATCTAAAGTTTGACAAAACGTTAAAGAAAAATAGGAATATTTATGACACTAAATATGTACATAAAAATATAACATGATAAATATATAGATACTTATTTAGTACTATAATCATCTCAACTACTCCCTCCATTTTGAAATACAGGGCTGCTGTATTAGTATGCAAAAAAAAATTGTAAACTTTGACCATCAGTTATCATATACAGTAAGGAGTAGTAAGAGAAACTAGTGGTCAAAATATATCTTGAAATACTTATTCAGATGTTAAAAAAACAGCAAGCCCTGATGCGCATGCAGGTTACAAAAAGGACTGGAGTGTACTCGTTATCGTCATCATATTCAGAGCTTGCTTGTCCGCGGGCACAGCGCGTGGCTGGCTCGAACGCGCGCGGTGCCAGTGCTTCTTTTCACTCCCCAAAGTCAGCTCATCAGCTCATTGTAAATTGTAATCTAACAATCGCAAGTTGCTTCTCTCTCGGGCCGCATGCACACGCCACGCGGCAACAGAGCTGACCTCGCAGCAATGCGTGCGAGTGTGCGACGAGGCGCGCGAGTTTGCTGCAATCTAGACACAGCACTCGCGTTCCGGACGGACGACGGAGGCGGCAGCCGGCAGGCGGTCCCTTGGATAGGAAGCGAGGTCGTCGTGTTGCGGCGGCAGGCTTGGCAGGCAGCATCAACCAGACAGCAGGTAGCAGACACGCCGTGGCTTTGGCGTCGGATGCACTTGACCGGAGGCGCTGCTACTGCTAGCTGGGGCCTGCCGGCGCGCGCCCGGTCGGCCGCTAGTGGCCAGTGGCGGCAGCAATTGTGCTCCACAGCTGTGGCCGCGCTGCGCGTGCGTGCGGGGACGGATCGGACAGCCCTGCCCCCGGCCCGGCGGCCCCCCGGATATGATGGATAAGCTCCAGAGCTCCCTGCTGCTCCCCGCCCCGGCCCGGCCGGTCGTCGCCGCGCGCACGGCCCTCCTGTCGGGCCTGCTGTGCACCCGTGAAAAACGACCTGCGTTACATGCTGCTCAGGCTCTGAAAAGTGGAGAGAATCGAAAATGTTACGCGGCGATAGCGAGGGTGTGACTGCTGACAGGCTGGCAAGTTCCGTTCCGTTCCATGGACCTCGTCGTGACTGGGCAGGAAGGGATGTCGTCGACCCCGGCCGAATCGCCGTCGGCGCCTCTGGCTTTGTTGGCTCGCGCGCGCGACTCCACGACCAGCTAGGCCCGTGACGGCCGGCACGCCGCAAGCAACGCATGCCGATGCCGGGCGGCCACTAAAGCTACTGTACATACAAACCGCGGACAACGCTAGACCAGTAGACCACTTGTGTGCACTGTTTGTAAGATATGATGCTGCTTTTTAAAACAAAAAGATTGAGAGAAAAACTTTGAGGGTCATTCTGGACTGTTGATGGTCCGAGCAGGGGTTCACCATCTGTGACTGACACATTGTGATCCGTTTCGGCGTTTCTTGAATTCTTGTGCACGCACGCACTTGCTAACAACTCCCCCTGGATTCAATTCCTCTGCTTCACGCAAAACCCACTGAACGAGCAGGCATTCCATTACCGTCAGCTAATGCCCACGATCCTGCAGGGCCCAGCAGGCATTAGCATTTACCAGCAAAGAATGATTAGCGTGGCCAATGCAACCCCACATGCAGATGCCGATGCGGCAACGCCAAAACGTGCGGTTCGGGGGCCAGGGCAGACCGGCAGGCGCGGCGGCAGCAGCCGGGCAAGGAAGGATTCGTCCAATCGAGATCGAGAAAACATGGCCATCGCATGATGGCGGGACGGGGCCACGCCCGAGCCAGCGGGGCACCCCTCCATTCGTCTCGCCGGCCGGCCGGCCCGTCCGTCCGCCGGAAGCGACCAGACCAACAGTCCACTTCCACCATGGCAGTGGCTGCGCCGACTTGGCAAATTGCATGGAATTGGACGGGGGCGCCCCAGCATTCGCAGCATCTTAACGCCTAAGCAAGCATCCGTTCACCCGTCCGGCATTTTCCTTGTCCTCCCAAGGTCCCAATGATGACGGGCGGCCCTGGCCCTGCTGCCCCGTCATCGTCGTCCAGCCTGCAGTGCAGGGATCCGATTCGATCGGCTCGATCCGGCGGATCGGAGGCGCAGCACAAGACTAGACTGGGATGCCGACCGCGGCAAATATCTCTCGTTAAACAAAACCGCCTGCAAATCCTCGAGGGGCCCCGGCTCGAATTTGAAATTCCACGAGACTTTGACTGCCGAACGCACAAGTGCACTGCACTGAAATTTCGCGACGGTCCTTTGCTATTGCTAGCTAGCATCCACTGCTGCATTAGCAGTTTAGATGGTCACTTTGTCAGCCGTCACCGCTCCCCACTGAGCCGTGCTTATCCCGGAACTTTGCCATGGCAGCAGGATTCATTGGCATTGGCGTTGGCGTTGGCTGTTGGC